TTTTCTGTCCAAATGTCATAATAAATATCATAAGCCTAACATGACTTTCTCAAACTATTATTCAGCCCTCAGAAAAATACGTAAAATAAGAACCTGGAAGTGCCCTGCTATTACTGTCTTGCAGCTGTGGTTTCTGATGCTATGGGCTTTCACTTCAAAGCTACAGACTGAATCCTTTGACTGGTTACTGCAGTTCAATACTTCTTGCTGCATTTGCAGAAACAAAGTAGGGCAAACCACACATATGTTTTGCCATTAACTAGCACCTGAGTTACTAACATTTTGATTTTATCCTCATGCATCAAAGATCAAGATTTTTTTAGAGAACAAACCATCAGAGCATGTGTGTGAACTCATTTCTGATACATTAAGAGACTCAAAGACAGGAAGAGATACACTCTTAAAAAGGATGAATCTTCAAGGGTTCCTCAAGATAAGATAAGATAAGAAAAACTTTATTGTCCATTAAATTTACATGAAATGGAAATTTGTCTTTGGCAATCTGGCACATATATACATAGACACATAAAACACTTAAAAACACTTACAACAGCAGTACTATGTAGGGGATTATTTATTATGTCTTTATTCAGAATGCTCACAGCAGTGGGCTCAAATGATTTTTTGTACCCATTCTTTCTAGCTAGTGGGACCTTAAGTCTCTTGCCTGAGAGACTCTTGGCAGCGACCGGAATGATGAACGAAGGGGGTGGGTAAACCTCAACAAAGAAAAATGTTCTATAAAGAACCCTTTGCATGATTAAAGGGTTCTCTGCATTATGAAAGGGTTCTTCTGATGGAGAATGTGCTGTAGATGGCTCCATTCTTCCATTGTTACAAGCTTGGCATCATAACAATAGAGAAACCCTTTTTGGTGCTATATAGAATGCTTTAAAAAAATCTATATAGAACCATCTACAATACATTCTGAAGAACTCTTTCATGATGGTAAGAACCCTTTATTAATACAAAGGGTTGTTTGAGTGTTCTTGGTTCTTTATAGAATCATTTTCTTTACTAAAGAACCCTTAAAGAACCATCTTTTTTAATAGTGTACACCATATGTCCGTATGGAGTGACAAAGCTCCATCCAATACCTTTGGGATGAGTTAGAGTAATCCAGAACTGACCACTCAACATCTATACCCGACCTCACTGATGCTCTTGTAGCTGCAATCAAAACCTCACAGCAATGTCCCAGCATCTAGCATAAAGTCTTCCCAGAAGAGTAGAGGCTGTTACTGCAGCAAATTGGGGACAGATGCCCTATTAATATCCTTAATGTCAGAAGACAAACTTTTGGACATGCAGTTTTGGTAGAATGGCCTGTTTGAGAACCTCTGTGAGCCAGAAAGTTCACTGTGAGGACTTCAATGACAAAGCTGAGGGCAGACACACTAGAATCTACTTAACCTTCTTTGGAGCACCATGTGAGGATTTTAAAGCTGAGCTCTAGGGTAAACAATCTGTCAAACATTGTCCCGCTGCACTGGTCCCGCCTCATACCAAAGGTTCCCTAATTTCTTACAGGAACTGTCATGCCCATTTAAGCTTGGTCTTTTAAAGTGTCTAAGAACCCTGTGTCTATGTTGAGGAAGCGGTTGCACCAACGGAAGAAACTGAGGAAGCTGGTCATACAAACTGAGGACATTTTTTTTTCTTGTTTAAATGAACATCACAGCCTCATTCAGAAGCCTCTGTCAATAGCATGTGCCATCCACCATCAAGCTATTAACAGTAGATAATAAAATGTCCTCACAGAAGAAAATACGACAAGCACAATTGTGGCAATAAAAACAATGACCTTTGAATAGCGATTGAAGGTTGCTAAAGCGACCACTTTGAAAACTTTAGTCACGTTTCACACACACAAAAAGACGGTTAGAAATAAAGGTTCTGTGCAGATACATTTTTGTTCAATGTACATGTACCCTGAAAGGTACAACAGTGGATTTAAGGTCCAATTGTGCACCTTAAATAAGTACAAAAGTACATATTTGTATTTTTTCATAACCTAATGTTTTAAAACAGAACAAAAAAATAAAAAGCCTGGAGACAAGACGGGGTGTGTGGAGTCAATACAGCTTGGAAAATATAATTTCAGTGGATTATGGTACAATTATGTTCCCTGACTAAAGGTACTGAGATGTATCACCCCAGTGACAAGAGAGGTACTCCCCCAGTGACAGTCTCATACCTTTATTTCTGACAGTGTACAGTGTGAGACATTGTGAAAACATGACTGACTCATAACAGGTCAGAATATAAAAATATGTACTAGCTTCTTGGTAGGCCGCATACTTTCTCTTATGATGCCGAGCATGGGTCGGCACTCGGCCCTGTCCAAAACAGCCCTGTTTTTCCATCATAGAAAGACACTACATGTGAAGAAAGGGCACTGTAAACTTGCTTCCAGCATATTTTCCAATAAAAGAGCAAGGGAGTGGGCAATGTGGCGATATTTTATCGCTATAATGAGACGTCACAGTACGCTTCTCTGAGCATAGTGTGGATATCCTATGACCAACCTCATGTTTTATTTCAAAGCGAGAAAGTAATGAAGGCACTTTGCAGGTACATTTTTCGATCATCAAGGTACAAACAATTTAAATGTACCTCAGAGGTACAACAGTGGTTTTAAGGTCCAATTGTGCACCTTAAATAAGTTTTTCCAGGTGAAAAATACATATTTGTACCTTTTCATAACCGAATGTTTTAAAATAGAACAATAAAACGAAAAGCCTGGAGACGAGACGAGGTGTGTGGAGTCAGTACAACTTGGAAAACATCATTTCAGTGGATTATGGAACAATTATGTTCCCTGAGTAAAGGTACTGAGATGTAGCCTTGAGGGCACCACCCCAGTGACAAAAGGGGCACTGCCCCAGTGACAGTTTCATACCTTTATTTCTGAGAGTGTTGTAAACACTGAATAAAGGTCTTTTCTTTTTTTTAAACCCAGTAACATGCAATGGGCCACGAGCATGCCCAAAGTTTTATTGCACACTTCTATAACTTATGAATAGCTCAACAAGTTTGCAATGAAGTCCCTGTAGTTAGTGAATAACATGCATGTGATAAGCCTGGAATGTAGAGGGGTTAATTCAATTCAATAGCAGGGTTTTTTTTCTTGGTTCCAACTTTGGAAACCTCAGAAAAACAAAATATTGTGATACATATTGTGTATCGTGAAAATGTCTTTGAGTACCGTGATGTTATATTTTCGCATTATTGCCCCAACCCTAGTTTAAGGAATATATAACATCTATTTGAATACTCTGAAACACTGTAGAAAATCCAGAAAGACTGCCATTCCCTGTGTTTCTTTTGTATTGTATCTGTAATGTATTGCTGTAACATTTGACCTTGGCCCTTGAATTAAAAAAGAACAACACCATGTGGATATACATGATAATCGATGCCCACCACTGAAGCGATAAGAGTACCATCAAAATCAGAAACCCTAATCAATGAACAGCGAAAATACACAGGCATCGATTTCCTCTGCATTTGTAACAGCTGTTAAACCCATTTACCATGCTAAACCTCATTTAAGATGTGCCGAGCCCAACAGTAGAACAGCAGGGATGCTGCTTGTGTTTATTATGATATGAATGATGATGCAAATGTCCAAATGTTTGGAGACACCTGCTCATCCAGTGGTTCCTAAGGGTATTAAATAGGAAGTCTGCTGCAGTCACAGCCTCTGCTCTTCTGAGAAGGCTTTAGACTAGATGTCGGAACATTGCTGTGAAGATCTGGTTGCATTCAGCCACAAGTGCATTAGTGAGGTCAGGTACTGATGTTGGATAACCAGTTCTGGACACTCCAACTCATCCCAAAGGTATTGGATGGAGCTCCATCACTCCAGTCCAAAGCTGGGGGGGGCTTTATACCCCTCTAGCCCATGCTTGGCAATGGGCATAGTGACCTTAGGCTCTTATGGGGCTTCTTCAGAGTGTCCTATTCTATGGCCAGTGCTTCTACATAGAGATACAAGCTACTGAACACCAATGTGTGTCTGGATATGTTTGGACACACGGTGTAGGAATGACAGTAATTGGCCTAAAAGAGCCCCCTAACATCTTCGGCTGCTGGTAAGACCACCTAGACTTCAGCAAGATGAGGCAGATGGGGCTGAATTGAATAGAAATGAATGAAGCCCCACAGCAAAAAAGCAGCACCGCCAACATGTTCGTCTCCATAACTGTCCTTTACAAGCTTCATACGTCACTGTGGGCTCTTCTGTCATCTAGCCTACACACTTAAAAAGATGGTTCTTCAAGGGTTCTCTGCTAAAGGAAATTTAGAACCATGAGTTCTATATAGAACACTTTCCATGCTTAATGGTTCTTTGCAAGAGCCAAATGTTTCTTAGGAGTGATGGAGAATGTGTTATATATGGTTCTATATAGAACCTTTCTGAAAATGTTTCTATATAGCACCTAAAAGGGTTCTGCTATTATTATGATGTCAAGTTTGCAACAACAGAAGAACCTAAGGTTCTACATAGAACCTTTTTACAATGGTTCTATATAGCACCAAAAAGGTTCTGCTATTGTTTCAATGTCAAGCTTGAAGAACCTTTTTGGTGCTCTCCAGTCCTAAGAATCATCAAACATTGAAATGACTCTATATAGAACTCGTGGTTACAAACAGAACCACTGCCTCTACCATCTTTTTTAAGTAACTACCAGAACACCATCTTTTTTAGGTATGTATCTAAAAAGGGCCTCAGCTTCCCATTCCCCAGCTTTATCGAATTTTCCCGTTCCTCCTTAAATGGTACAGCAGTAAACGTTACCTCCGGTGCCAGCATGTCACTGCCGCACCATTTAAGGTGAAACGGAAAAATTCGATAAAGCTGGGGAATGGGAAGTCGACTTCAGCCTCGTCCTCCTCAGCTGTCAGGAGCTTGGCTCACACCGTCAGCCACCAAAGGGATAGAAAAACAAGAGCTGACCAAGCTGGTGAAAGAGGTGAAGGGGTGAAGGACTCACCTATTCCAGGAGCTGAGTAGATGAAGTAAAGCGCCGAGGTAGACAGGGAGAAGAGGAACAGCAGCCCGAGAAATGACCTTCTCCGAAATCTCATATGCGGCGGCATCATCCTACGGGACTGAACGACAGGAGAAACCCCCACCGAAGGAACGAGACGAGGCAGAGTCTCCTTCTGCTGGCAGTCGAGACGCAGGCGGCGAGAAAAAATCTCCTTTTTTCGGTTACCTTTGACGGGTAAAAAACGTTGAAGACTGAAGACAAACGTAAAAAGTCGGTACAAACGTTAAATTCGAATCCTGGAACAGAAGAAGAAGGGCCGCGCGCGAGGGCAAAGAATGTGGCCGAACAGGCGGGAAGCGCGAGCTCTTTTTTTAGTTGTCACTCGCTTAATTTGTTTTTAATACAAACCAAATTTGAGTTTTGTATTTGAATAAAAAAACAACAACGGAATTCTCAACGGCTCTAACCGTCGATGTCCGTTCTTAACTCATCTTCGTCACTTACATACAGCACGCCCTCCTTTTCCTTCGGCCGTGATGAATGGAAGTGCAGGTTAGCCTACGCTAGTATATGAACAGCGTGGTTTAATTTTTTCTCCACCCGCATTCGGACAGAACCCCGCCTACTGGGATGGGATTGGCTGATCGAATCTTGTCAATCTTAATCACGCGCTATGATTGGCTATCATGACATGCTTTGGCCCAAACCGAATACGGGCGCGGTGGGCGGGGCTCTCCCGAAAACAGGAGCGGAAAAAAACAGACCTTTATAAACCGCAGTTCTTTTAAGGGAGTGTGTACAAATTACCACCAGTTTCTAGATTTGTAATTGACTTGATGTACATCTTGAAATTTTTTTTATCATACAAAGCATGCTGGTTCCTGGTGGTATTGTCACTAATTGTATTTTGTATTTGTCCTGATGGGTTGATGTCATGATGTGAATGACTCTAATGGTTTAACAAGTGCTCTGGGACTGATTCCAAACACATTTGATGGTTTCCTAATGGGATCTAAAGGTGTGCTACAGGAAATTAGCGGTCTCTAATGGGAATTGGCTGAATGGTTCCCATCAGAGACCACTAGTTTTGTGTAGGACACCTTTGGATGCCATTAGGAAACCCATTGAAAAGAAAAATCATCAGGTTACGATGCTACTAGTTCTAAGTGTAGTTATGTCATAACTGAAGTTTGGGTGAAGAAACATGCCTGAAACCCATCCTTCTTCCAATCTAACACCCTGTAAATTCTTATCCTCACCTTCTGTTCCCACGATGAAGCGTTCGCAATCATCACCACCATGCTACAAGCAGAAGCTGCCCAAAACCCCAGCCCAAGTTCTCATAGTTCTCCCCCTTCCCTAAATCAGTTTTCTCTCATACTACCTCCACCATGTTGAAAGCGTGGTCAGAACTCACAGGCCTTTTGTCTCAGCAGGGAAGGATGGTGCTTCAAGCGTTGTTTAGTAAAGAAAATGGTGAAATCGTTCTTCAGATTGATGGAGAATGTGTTGTAAATGTTTCTATACGGAACCTTTTTGAAAACGTCTCTACATAGCACCAAAAAGCGTTCTTCTATTGTTACACTGTTAAAAAAGATGGTGCTTCGAGCATTCTGTGGCAAAGGAAATGGTTCTAAATACAACCATGAACACTTAACGAACCATTTGCATGATTAAAGGGTTCTTTGCATTGATGGAAAATGTACATGAATGTGCTATAGATGGTTCTTCTTCTATTGTTATGTGTCAAGCTTGTAACAATAGAATTACCCTTTTGTGTGCTATATAGAATCTTTTTAAAAAGGTTCTATATAGCACCCAAAAGGGTTCTTCTATTGTTACAAGCTTGACACGTAACAATAAAGAACCCTTTTGGGTGCTATTTAGAACCCTTTTCAAAAAGGTTCTATATAGAACCATCTACAGCACATTCGCCATCATTCTAAAGAACTCTTTCATGATGGAAAGAACCCTTTAATCATGCAAAGGGATCTTTAAGTGTTCATGGTTCTACATAGTACCATTTTCTTTACTAAAGAACCATTTTTTAGTGCGTACTAACAGGTTATAATGGAAAGGGTACAAAAATGGTTCTTCAAGGATTCTTTAATAAAGACTCAAGCCATGAACACTCAAAGAACTATTTGCTTGATTAAATGGTTCTTTGCATGGCGAAATAGTTCTTCAGAGAATGTATTATATATGGTTCTATATTGAACTTTTTTGAAAATGGTTCTGTGTAGCACCAAAAAGTGTTCTTCTACTGTTACAAGCATGGCATGTTGCAATAGCAGAAACCTGCTAAACAGAATCATAAGCAACACATTCTCCATCAATCTGAAGAACCATTTCACTATGCAAAGAACAACTTAATCATGCTATGGGATCTTCAAGTGTTCATGGTTTTATACAGAACCCTTAAAGAACAACCTTTTTAAAGAGTGTATGTTATAGTTACCATCATTTTTGGAGTTCAGTGTTGAAATGGCCTAAATTAGGTGAAGAATACATACTGACTTGTTTAGGATTTGAAGACTGGGACTTGGGATTTGGCTCAAGACTTGGCTGTACTGACTCAAAACCAGATTTAAGACTTGACTCGGGACTCAAGTGTCAAGATTTGAGACTTTCGGGTTACTTGTGTTCTTACAGGAAAAATTTAGCAGCACTTTGCTTTAATTTATTGCTTCCTTAAGATGAGACAGAATTACAGTAGAAACGATTATGTAAGACTGCATAATGTTGATGTTCAGTAAGAAAACAAAACTGTGCTAATCTCTATTAGTTAAACAAGATCATGAATCACAGTCACACCTATGATGAAATACTGAAGTGATTCATGTGCTGGTTTACCTTCAGTCATGACCTACATGCTTCTCAGAGGATGAATAACGTAAGTTATATTTAGCCATTTTCCATATTGAGTGGTTTTGTTCAGGCCTACACAAAGTGTTGATCATTTTGCTTTTCGTCCAAACCTCATTCAGTTTAAACTCTCAGATGATAGAATCATTTGGTTGGTCTGGCCTCTGGACTAACGATTTAATCATGTCTGTAGTACTTTGGATCTTGTTTCCTTTTGACTGCGGTCATGTCTAGGGGAATAAGAGAGAACTGAATGATTGATCTGTCGACTAGATATGCCAGATGGGCTGCATGTCTTTTGGTGAGAGTGAACTTAATCAAGTATATTTTGCTATCACCTCAGTTTGATTCTACTCTGAACCACTGCAGGTAAAAAGTGTGCTTGTACACAGATCCGTACACCCCCCTTCTTCAAAAAAGGAAGTGAGAACCCATAAAAAGTGTATGAATATTTCTCTCTCTCATTTCTTCTCAATTTCTGTGTCTAAAACAGATGTGTTCACAACACAATACATCATTAACTATAGACACATCTGGGTCAGTTTCCCAGATGGGGACTCATGTACAATTAAATGTATTACTAAATTACATAAAAAGTACTGAAAGCTACAGAGAAAAGGACTCCTAACAGCCACCTGGAAGACCTGGTAAACCACCAAATATGTCCCCTATCAAATAAACAGCACTTCAGGCTTTCGTCATTGAGAGAGAGAGGAGAACATCAAGCTGCTTCAGATCAAAATCCACAGCCATTCTTTCACTATGAGAAGACAACTCAGCGCTATGGGTCTGAAAGGATGTGTAGCTGTCAAGAAGCCCTCACTGAGAAAAGGACACACACACAAGAAGCTGCTGGAGTTCTAAGAACAATGGAGTGACTGTTATTTAGGTCAAAGGGTGTGCAACGTAAAGCCCAGCTCTCGAAAACATTCCACCTTCAAGCTGAAAATGTCCTGCAAAATATTCAACCTGTACAAACAGGTTACAGATACAGATCAATAGTTGTGAATGTGAAAGTGGTTCTTTGTCTGATGAGCTGCTTCAAGGAGCTCACTGTTATAAACATGACCTGAACCCCCCTGCTGTACTTTATAGCCATTTGTAACAAATCAGGTGTAATAGTGTAATTAATATCACTTGCTATCTCTCTCTCTCACACACCCTTGCCTTCATGCACTGTTAAATTTTATTGCTGCACAGCCCACATTGGAAAATAACCATGAACAAGGAGCAGGACGGGGTCTTAAACATGGTTTGACAGTGCTAAATCTTAGGGTTCTAAAATACTGAATGCCCATTAATTTCCATACCTGATTTTTTATCATCATTTTGCTTTAGTCTATATGATCTCTAAGCTTCCCTGAGTACTAATCTGAAGAACGTCTTAAATTTGAACAAATCATATGGCTAAAATCATATTGCATGCAGTGTTTTGGACACAGATTTTGACCAAAACAATAGAAAATCCAAAACTGACAATGAAAAAAAAATACTATCACACAAAATCATCATTTTAGAGCTGTTGGAACAGGTTTGGTAGCATTTTTTTATCATAGTTGTTGGACATAAATGCATTAATACTAAAGCCAAAAACAGAATTCTCTTAACATGAACATTAGAGCTAAATATCTGAATGCCAAGCCATTGCTACAACTACAGTAATCCCAGTAGGCTTTTATCTACAATCAGACTGTAAAAGAGAAAGGAAGGAATTAAGTTCATTAGGATTAAGTTAATTGCTTAATGTGTGGGTAAAGGTAACTTGTTTAGAAATGACTGACAACATGTAAAGCCTATCACAGTGTACTAACAACAATGTGCTGGCTTGTTTTTAAGCACAACTGCCACATGTGTGAACTTATTCTTTTTGGATGTACACCAAGAAATTTCACCAATTACTAAGAAATTTCACCAATTTCAACTTCGTAATTATGAGAAAATGTCACGGAAATGCTTGACAAGTTCTGTAATTCACTATATAGACTGTATTGATTGCAATTCTTTATGCAGCCTCTCTCTCTGCATCTTGATAATGTGTTGTTTGGTTGCTATATCACTGATTAGAAACTTATCAATGATAAAATAAGTGTTATTTTATTAATCGAATCATAATCTTAGCTAAATTTCACATTCAAATATGTAAACATGAAGTCATGTCAAGCCTTTATATGTTGTTTTTTTTTCAAACAGGAGATTGTGCTTTGTGTAAAATCTGTTCATCATTTCAAGAATGGAAAAGCTGAAAGGAAAAAAAATACTTAATATATTTGTTAGATTTCCATTTCATGCGTTTATAAATTTACTTTCAAAGTAAAAAATACAGAAAAACATTTTTATTCGGGTCATTTCAGTCAGTGCTGCATGAATCTAGAAGCTTCTTTACGTTTATCAAGTCAGACCCTGCTCACTTATAACGGCCAATCCACGCCGTGTTTACACATTGCGTCACGGCGCGCTGGAACGCTGGGAAATGTAGTTCAGACCCCAAGTGATTTGTAATACCTTCGCTTTCTTAGATTGAAGCGTCGTTCTACAAAATAATCAGCAGTCTGAACATTGCATTTGCTAAAGCACAGTCCTACTGTGTCTTTTGTTTCTTCTTACTTTAAACAAAACAACAGCTTTCGTTACATCTTTAAAACTACAACTCCCAAAA